ACTAGGCGAGAAAACACAACAACGCTTCATCGGAGGCTGCACTGATGATGTTATCCAGCAGGGTAATGAAACATCTGCAAACTAATGAACCAGCTTGGTGAGCAAACTAACCATAGCAAATCAGAGATGCCAGAGGACTGAAGGTTTGCCACTGTTTAAGAAAAATGGAAAAGGAATAAATCTGGTAACTATTGACAAGTAGTGTCCCCAGCCAAGCACTCATCCCGTGCAGACCAACTGGCAGAGGTGTTCGCCAACATCTTCTACCTCGCCCTTCTACAAACCAAAGTCCCCACCTGCTTCAAGAAGATCACCATCATCCCCGTACCCAAGAAAACACATGCAGCATGCCTTAATGACTACCGCCCCGATAGCTCTGACTTCAATAATCAGGAAGTGCTTTGAGAGGCTGGTCATGGCCCACATCAACTCCAGTCTCCCAACCTGCCTCGATCCCCTACAATTTGTCTACTGACACAACAGAGCCACATATCCCTAGCCCTGCATTCATCCCTGGAATATCTGGACACACAGACACCTACATCAGACTCCATCTGACTACGATTTCACCTTCAACACCATTATTCCCTCCAGACCGATCACACAACTCCATGACCATGGTCTTGGCTCCGCCGTCTGCAACTAGATCCTCAGCTTTCTGACCCATAGGCTGCAATCAGTGAGGATAGGTAACTGCACCTCCTACACAATAACACTCAGCACTGGCGTTCCCCCACCCACCCTCCCCCTCCCCCCTAAGGATGCGTCCTCAGCTTGTAGTCCATGTACACCTATGACTGTGTTGTCAATTTCTGAATGAGCCCCACCTACAAGTTTGCTGATGACACCACTGTAGTGGGATGGATATAAGTTAAACTACAGAAGGGAGATATAGGGCTTGGTGACATGGTGCAATGAAAACAATCTGCCTTTTAATGTCACCAAAACTAAAGAACTGATGGTTGAGTTCAGAAAGAAAGGAGGAGAACACGCCTCCATTTACATCAGTGGAACTGAGGTTGAGAGAGCGAAGAGCATAAAGTTCTTCAGACTGACGATAACTGATGACCTGTCCTGGACTTCCCACGTAGATGCGACAGTCAAGAAGGCACAACAATGCCTTTTCCTCAGGCTGCCCAGGAAATTTTGCATGTCCATGAGGTCCCTTACCAACTTCTACAGATGCACCATTGAAACCATACTGTCCAGGTGCATTATGGCCTGGTATAGAAATTGCTCTGCCCAGGACTGAGAAACTACAGAAGGTGGTGTGCGCAGCCCAGACCATCACGGAAGCCAAGCTTCTATCTATGGACTCTATTTACACAGCTAGCTGCCACGGAAATGTGGCTGACATTACTGGGGTGCGATGAATCTTTGATGTTCTCCTACAACCTCTTCTGTCGGGCAGACGATACAGAAGCCTGAACATGCGCAAGCAGGTTCAGGAACAGCTTCTTTCTGGCCTTTATCAGACTGTTCAATGGACTCTAGCCTTAAGTAATGTAGCCTGCAATGTAACCTGTATGCCTCTAAGTTTTTTTTTATCTGTACATCCTTTGCTTGCTGTGATCTGCCTGTACCGCTTGCAAACAAAGCTTTTTACTGTCTTTTGGTACGCGTGACAATAAATCAATCAATCAACGAAGCTGGCAACACTGTTAGAGGGAATCTAGAAATACGGGAATTGGCACTTGAAAGAATACAGTTTAACAAATGAAAATGGATTTGTTTAATTTTTTTGTGCTTGACTATCTTGATTGAAGATTTTAATAAACTAAAAGTGTTGGTGATGGTATAATTGATATGTATGTGGATTTTCAAAAGATGTTTGATAAAGGAATACTGAGTTTTGTGCTACAATATGTATCGTGATCTTCAAACTTGTGTACAAATTTAAAAGGGCAATGACTGTGTGAATACAATGACCGTCAAGGTCTCTAATTACTAAAATAGAATTAATGCTGTAGAACAAAAGTAGAATTTTCTGAAGAAACTCAGCAAGTCTGGCTGCATTTGTGAGGAGAAAAGAGTTAACGTTGCGAGTGCAGCGACACGTCAGTTATGTGGAAAGATTATGTGGGGTTACTGTTCTTGTAGCAACAAAGGTTGAGGACAGATTTGACAGAGATACTCCAATGTTGTTGGGGGGGATGGTGTTTGCTGTTTTGAATTCTAAAAGGGATGGTGACCAAAGGAATAGGGACATTTAAGCGACTCTTGGATAGGCACATGGATGATAGTAAAATGTAGGGTATGCAGGATAGTTTGATCTTTAGTAGGATAATCGGTCAGCACAACATCGTGGGCCGACGGGCCTGTACTGTTCTATGTTCTACATTCAAAGGACATGTGTAGGTTTATTGCTACAGGAACCATAAGGGGGGAGTTTTGCTGTGGCCTGAAATACACTATGGTAAGAGCAGTGGAAACTATTTCCAGTAGTAACTTTCAAAGCAACAATGAACAAAGGCTAGATAAGCAGAATTGCTTCCTCCTGTTCTATGTGATGTTATTCCACGATTATAAGAAGCAAGTATTCCATCAGAAAAAAAAACAATCTGTTAAATTTGGTTGTGGTTATGTTGTATGAATAACACTCATCTTCTGAGTTGTGGGAATTAATCATGCTGCCTTTATTGGCAGAGCTTCAAGCTGCAGATTTCCACCCCCAGACCTTTATTTGCTTCACAGAATGAAGACCATATTAGCATTTTTTACACCTCAGTTAAGTGACCAGATTACAATTTTACTTTCTGTTTGTGCTATTTTATGGACAATGTCATTTCTTCAATTGAAGGCTAACAGCCAGTATTTTTGCTGCTGACATGAAAGAAAAGTTGGATGTTAATTTTTAAAAACTGTGCAGGTTCTGTCTGCTAACTTCACAAATGTGTCCTAATGTGGTCTTCTGTTTGTTCTAATTTGAACACAGTTGAATGTCTGTTTATTGGTTGGGATGTGCAGTATTTAGAATGATATTTTTTAATCTTCTGATTTCTCACCCATTGCGTGCGTGTGTGTTGACAGAAATGATTTGTAGCTTCGTTATTTTAAATCTTTTTAAGGTACCCTTGCCATAAAACCTAGCTCCAAAGTACCATTGGTTTTGGTGCTGCAGGACCTAAAATAAATAGTGTGCTCACCCCAGATTTGACATATAGCCCATGCCTTGAGGGCGTTTGAAAAATGATGGTGTGGGTGACGTATGTGTCCAGTGGAAGTAAGATGTGCTGGGCAGATTGAAACATTCTGTCAGAAGAGTGGTGCTGGATCTTTTAGAGGAAGTGGGTGGTTCTGAAAGGTTTTTTATCTCCCCAGTTTTTGAGTTTCATTTAATCTTTCATGGGATTAGGACATCGCTGAAGTTAGCGTTTATTACTCATTCCTAATTACCCCAAGTGGTGTGTTAGGCCATTTCAGAGGGCAGTTAAAAGTCAATCACATTGCTGTAGACCTGGAGTCCTGTATCAGCTGGTAAGGATGGCAGATTTCCTTCCCTAAAGGAAATAAGTGAACTCGATAGATCTTATCATCAATTATTGATAGTTGTTGTGATCACCATTGGTGAGACCAGCTTTATATTCAAAATTTATGAACTGAATCTAAATTTCATTGATTGAAACTACGTCCTCCAAGCATTAGCCTGGATGTCTGGGTTGCTTGTCCAGTGACATTACCATGTACCCCCAGTCACAGTTCCTGTTCGGATGCAGTATCAGAGAGGGAGAAGGATAATTAGACCGTGCTACCCACCTACGGTCCTCAGACACCGCTGCTTCTATCTGTACAGCAGCCAGGAGCAATGTGCGCAGCAATTACACTTCAAGTTCAGTGGTCACTGAACTGTACAACCTCCTTGGACTAAACCTGAAGCCATAGAATAAGCTGAACATGGCACTGCCTGTGGATGTCTGGGTCAAGATGACTTTAAATTCTTTACACCAACAAATGCTCTGAAACTGGAGTCAGCAACATGATCAAAGTCTCTCTGTAATAAAAACAAAACTGGGATTGCTGGAAATTTTGAAACACAAACAGAAGGAGCTGGAGTAACTCAATGGGTCCGGCAGCATCTGTAGAGAAAAGCAGAGTTAATGTTTCCGGTCCCGTTCTGACTGGTCACTGGGCTTGAAATGTTAACTCTGCTTCTCTCCCTACAGATGCTGTCAGTCCTGCTGCATTTCTCCAGTACTTTGTTTCTCTCTGGTCTGTCTATCTGCAGACCTCACGGTTGAGGACCTGTGCACAAGCTGAAAGAGCAGCATCATCTCTCTAGATGTGTCTCTAACTCCGTTTCCATTGGATAGAGAAGGCAACAAGTAGTCACTTTTTTGCTCCTTCTTTGTAGTTAACATTTGAGATTTTAGGTTGTTGACTTACTCGCCGAGCTGGCTTGTTCTCGTTCAGACGTTTTGTCACTGTGCTAGGTAACATTATCAGTGGAGCCTCCGATGAAGCGATGTTATTCTACTCCGCTTGGAATATATACTGTCTGGTCCGTTATGGTGAGTAGTGTCATTTCCAGTTTTGATCTGTATGGGTTTGTATGTTGGGTCCAATTCTATGTTTGTTGATCGCATTATGGGTGGAGAACCATGCCTCTAGGACTTCCCGTGCCTGTCTGTTTGGCTAACCAAAGTAGCCCAAGCCAAACATAGACACACACGGGAATTCCTGGAGGCATGGCTCTCCACCCATAATGCGATCAACAAACATATAGAATTGGACCCTATATACAAACCCATACAGATCAAAACTGGAAATGACACTACTCACAATAACAGACCAGACAGTATACATTCCAAGCGGAGTAGAATAACATCGCTTCATCCGAGGCTCCACTGATGCTGTCACCTAGCACAGTGATGAAACGTCTGAACGAGAACAAGCCAGCTTGGCAAGCATGTCAACAACCTCACCCACAAGCCGAGCTACAGATCTTTGCCAAAACTTTGAATTTCAGATTTTAATTTAAACATAACTTTTTCTTCCTGTAGGTGAATCCACTTCTGGAAGCATTTGGAAATGCCCAGACTGTGATGAATGATAACAGCAGTAGATTTGGGAAGTACATTCAACTGAGATTTCACAACACTGCAGGTAAAAATGTCAATCTGTCTCCCCTGCATCCAGTTGAAGGACAAGAGCTGAATATATTCTGTTCTGACTCTTTATTGACAGATGTCTCCAGATGTAAAAGCAAAATATGGCAGATACTAGAAACCTGAGGCCAAAACAGAAAATGGGGAATATTTCCAGCAATATATTTTTTTTTGTTAATTTAATGCTCCCAGCCATTCCAGACTTTATCTCTGCTCAGATCTGAAATGTTTGAATCTTTTAATTGCCATCAAGAATGGTCAAGTAATAACTTCAAGAAGAAAGCCCTCCCCCATGTTCTCAGGTTAACTAGGAATTCACATTGTAACAATGATTTTAAAAAGAATTTGACAAACTGTTATGTAACACTTGTGTCTCTTGTATGTGGTGTTGACGGTTGATCAGCTCGCCTGAATGCAGGCTGGTATTTTTCTCCATTTGGCAATAAGATAACTTTAAGTGAATGTCCTGGTGGAAACTTACGACTGTTCTGTACTTGCATTGCACAGTTTTAGTCAGATTAAACCCCAGCAGTTTACTGATGTAATAAATGCACAAAAATGGAAATTATTTTTAGCCCCCTACTTATTGGGACCCTGCTGTATTTCTGCACCTCCTTTGTTTTGAATTTGTACGTTTTTTTGTTTTAACTGTGTTTTCCTTTTACCGTCACTACCCAATAGATGAGTTACATTGAGGAAGAACTGGACTATTTAGGGTTCTTCTGAAAGCCAGAGTTAAGACCAGATCATAACTTTTTCTGATTCTGTCTGATGAATTGGATGTTGACTGTAATATGTATAACTTGATGCTTCACGTTTTTACTCAGTGAAAGGTGCTAAAATCAATGAATACCTCTTGGAGAAATCCCGGGTTGTACATCAGGATGAAGGCGAGAGAAACTTTCATATATTCTACTATATGTTTGCTGGAATATCTGCTGCTGACCAGGAAGTTTATGGTCTCCTGGACTCTAAGTTTTACAGGTAATATTTTTATTTTAGCAGTGTGCCATGTGTTTGTTTTAGATTTGTTCTTAATGTCAAGTAGGTTGTTATTTTAATAGAACTCTGAAAGGCACCTTATTAATGTAACATTGTTCCAGTTAAAGGTATATTGAAAGCCTTCATTATACCATATAAAAAAACGAGAACTGCAGATGTTGTAAATCAAAAACAAAAACAGAAATTGCTGGTAAAGCTGAGCAGGTCTGGCAGCATCTGTGGAGAGAAATCGGAGTTAACATTTATGGCTGAGTGGCCTTTCCTCAGAACGGATGGAAACGAAATGTAGACTGGGTATCCACTTCACAGAACACTTGAGTTCAGTCTACAGAAAAGACTCAGCATCTGGTTGCCTGCCACTTTGACGCACTGCCGTGTTCCCTGGCCAACATCTCTGTCTCAGGCTTGCTGTAGCGAAGCTCTGCATGAGCTGGAAGAACAACACCTCATTTTCCACTTGGGGACCCTGCAGCCTTCCGGACACAATATCGAGTTCAGTAACTTTAGGGCTTGAGCTCTCCCATGTCCTTATCCTAACCTTGACACACCAGGTCTTGTTATCACATAGTCTGCTATTACAAACAACCCAGGTCCCATTAATCACTATTCACCCTCCTATCCAGCTCGTTATCCACTCCTTCGTCTACCCAACTGTTGTTCTGTCACTTTGGGCTCTACCCCACCTATCATTTACTCCTTATCTCCTCCTCCCGCCCCCCCTTGCCCCAACCTTCTGCATGTAAACTGATATTTTCCTAACTACCATCAGTTCGGAGGAAGGGTCACTAGACCCAAAATGTTAACTTTGATTTCTCTTCACAGATGCTGCTGAGCTTTTCCAGCGATTTCTGTTTTGGCTTCATTATGCCCTTCAACTTGAACTGTTATGTGGATAGTAGAATATACAAAATTGAAATAATCTGTAATGTTGCTTTCTTTCCTTCCTATTATTATACCACAATCCAAACTTTTCCTAGGTACTTAAATCACAAATATGGTGCAGCTGAAACCATCCAGCACTGGAGCAAGAAGTATAATGAAGTGTGCAATGCCCTGGATATGGTTGGCTTTTTAGAGCAGGTAAATAGCTGCATTTCCAGAAACCTCAGGACTGTAATTCAGTTGTTAAAATGTTCATGTCTTGTGTTCAAATAAAATAGGTGTATCCAAATCGAAGATCTGTGACGCTATTCAGGAATTTTTATTCATTCATTAGATGTGGTATCACTGGATGAATCAGCATCTACTGCCCATCCTTAGTTACTCTTGAGAAGGTAGTGTTGAGCTGCTGCTTTCAACTAGTGTCTGACCGTTTGCTGTAGGTAGAACCACAATGTTACAGAGTAAATTCTAGGATTTTGACCCGGTGACCATGAAGGAGCCAGGTGATGTGTTTGCAAGTCAGGATTGTGAGCTGCTTGGAGGGGAACTTGCAGATGTGGTGTTCCCTTGTATCTGCTGCTTCTGTCTTTCTAGATGGAAGTGATTTTGGGTTTGAAAGGTGCAGCCTGAGCAGCTTGGGTAAATTTCTGCAGTGCATCTTGTAAATGGTACGTAAGAACTAGGAGCAGAAGCAGGCAATTCAGCCACTCTGCTGTTTTGATATGATCACGACTGATCTTATCTTGGCCTCAACTCTACTTTTTCCTGCCCATTCCCCATTAGCTATCAGCCCATTCCTAATTAAAAATCTGTCTATCTCCTCCTTAAATTTACACAATGCCCCGGTATCTGCTGCCCTCTAGTGAATTCGTTTCATGATCCTTTGAGATAAGTAATTTCTCTTCATCTCTGTTTTAAATCTGCTACCCCTTAGCTAAAACTGTGACCTCTCAGCGTAGACTGCCCCATGTGAAGAAGCATCCTTTTCTATATCTACACACTGCTGCTACTGAGTGTCAGGGTTGGAGGGAGTGAATGTTTATGGATGGGTCCCAATCAGCAGGATGGTGTCAAATATGTTGATTATGGTTGGAGCTGCACACGTCAAGGCAAGTGGAGAGTAGTATTCCATCACACTCCTGACTTGTGTCTTGCAAATTGTGGACAGGCTTTGGAGAGTCAGGAGTTGAGCTACTCGCTGTAGGATTCCTAGCCTGTAACTTGCTCTTACAGCTACAGTACTTGTATGGCTAGTCCCATTCAGTTTCGGGTCACAGATGACCTGCCAGGATGTTGATAGCGGAGGATTCCGTGATGGGAATGCCAATGAAACTTGAGGGGCGATGGTTAGATTGTGTCCTATTGGAGATGTTCATTTGTGTGGTGTGATTTCTTTTTTTTCTACTTGCCACTAGTCAGCACAAGCCTGGATATTTTGCCAAGGGCTGCTTCAGTATCTGAGGAGTCACGAATGGTGCTGAATTTTGTGCAGTCATCAGCGAACATCCTCATGTCTGACCTTCAGTTGGAGGGAAGGCTGTTGATGAAGCAACTGAAGATGGTTGGGCCTAGGACACTACCCTGAGGAACTCCTGCAGAGATGACTGACCTCCAACAACTACAATCCTCTTCCTATGTGCCCCTGATATCCATTGATTCCAGTTTTGCTAGATCTCCTTGATGCCAGGCTTAGTCAAGCGCAGCCTTGATGTTGAGGGCTGTCGCACTCACCTCGCCTCTGGAATTCAGCTGTTTTTGTCCACGTTTAAACTGCGTCTGTAATGAGTTCAGGAGCTGAGTGGCCCTAGGGGAACCCAAACAGCATCACTCCTGAGCAGGTTATTGCGAAACAAGGCTGCTTAATATCATTATTGATGACACCTTCCATCACGTTGCAAATGATCAAGAGTAGACTGTTGGGGTGGTAGTGTGCTGGACTGGATTTGTTCTGCGTTTTATGTTCAAGGCATACCTGGGTAATTTTCCACATCGTCCGGTAGATGCCAATGTTGTAACTGCTGGGACAACTTGGTCAGGCGAGTGGCACGTTCTGGAGCACAAGTCTTCAGTATTATTGCCAGAATGTTGTCAGGGCCTGTAGCCTTCACAGTATCCATTGTCTCCAACCATCTCTTGATATCACGTGAAGTGAATCGAATCAGCTGAAGAATGGAATCTGTAATGCTGGGGAGTTCTGGAGGGGGCTGCAATGGCACTTCTGGTTGAAGATTGTGGTGAATGTTTCAGTCTTGTCTTTTGCACTGATGTGCTGAGCTCTCCTATTATTGAAGATGGGGATGTTTTATCAAGCGAGTTGTTTAGATGTCCACCAACATCCAGGTCTAAGTGTGGCATGAATGCTTTGATTCCAAACCAAAAGGATTGGATCCCTTGGCTCTAATTATCTTTTGCTGCTTTATACCATTTTCACATACCACTGGTCCTGTTTTATAGCCTCACCAAATTGACAGCTCAATTTGGGAATGCTTGCTGTTGCCTCCCCCCCGACCCCCGTCCCCTGGCATTCTCCCCTGCACTATTCATTGAGCTAAGGTTGATTGCCTGACTTGGCGGTAATGGTAGGGCGGGGGATATGCTGCGCCATCAGTTTGCAGATTGCGTTTGAGTACAGTTCAGCTGCTGATAACCCACAGTGTCTCATGGATGCTGGCTGTCAGTAGTTCAAACCAGTAAGTACCATTCCAATGTTCTAGTCCCATAACACTAAATTTAACCTAAAGTAGCCATCTAATGTCCTTTAGAAATCGCTAATCATTTCTACTTCCACCATCATTGTAGTAATATGTTCCAGATCATTAACACTTGCTGCGTAAAGTAACTTCGCCACTCATTCCTACCTGCATTTCTTGCCCAAACCATTAAATCTGTATCCCCTCATCCTTTTTACTATCATGGGCTAATGAGAACAGCTTTTCTTTATCTTCCCTGGTGCAAGTTTGCCTTGCAATATCCATATCTTTTGATCTTTACCTGATGTGGCAATGCTTATATTGTATCTTGTGACACAAACTGAGCATGCATATCATGATGTTTACGTATGCAACGGACACTATATACAAACATTACATTACATTCCTTAGATACATGGTGTCTGACCTAATATTTAAGCTGTTAAGTTGCAAGAGAGGAGCACATCTCCCAGTAGAATGTTAAGCTTTGAATGATCTGAAGTAAGATGCAGTATGAGAGTTTTACAAACTCTGGTTACATGCTACGATACGATGATGTTATCATAACAATGTATCTTTAAAATTATTTTGACCATGAATACAATACATATCATGTAATCTTGTATATCTCGACCAAATGGAAATCTGCAGCACACAGGCTATTTGGCTATTAAACCGACATAAAAGAATGGTCTAATCAACCCAGTCCCTTTTTTCTAATTCTTGGCCCATTACCTTGTAGGTAAATGTATAACCAAGTACTTTTTAACTGTTTAAGATTTTCTGCCTTTTCAATGCTTTTAGCCAGTGAATTGCAAATCCATACAAATCTCTAGATAAAACATTCTCCCACTGAATCGACTGTAAACCAATGTTTTACCCTAACTCTGTAAACTCTGGTGGCGAACTCTTCAGCCATGGGCAGTCAGCTCTTGCTGTGCACTCTAAAAAGAAATTGTCTAGATAAAGTGAAAACATCTGTGCTTCAGGGACGTAGACCTTCATCCGTGTTGTGCTACTGATCATGTTTATGGGATTGACTTGCGAGTCACTATTGAAATGTATTCAAAATGAAGGACTGGAATGTGAATTTTAAACCATACAGTATTGTCCAAATTCTTGTTTATAATCCATCCATTTTTCTTTTGTTTCAAAATAACATTAAAATGTGGCATGTTTTAGAAATCTGACCTTTCTGCAATGAATATCTGTGGAAGATGTTCAATATATTTGAACACAATTTGAAGAAATCCTAAGGGTACATGTGCACTTAATTTTATCCTATTTAACACACCCATGTTTTTCCACTCATTCCTAGTGTCCAATTAAGATTTATGAATTGTGTACTAATTTTAGACTTACCAGGTTGCTTCCGAAGCACTTTTTCTTCCTGCTTTTGATTTTTCTGTATAAGAGCATTCTAGCCCATCTGATCCACCCACATGTATTTACTGCCACACTGAGGGAGCATTTTGGTACCTGTAGTGTGTTTGTGCTACAGTTAAGTCACCAGACAAGATATTGTAGATGCATACTTAACTTTTTTCTGTACTTAATAACTTAATTCTTTAGTTTTTAAAACAGTTAAATGAAAACTTAAAAGTAACTAAGAGAAGGCTCTTAAGTTCAGTGTTGTTTGTGTTGGTTGAGTTTAGAAGGTTGAGGTGTAACCCCACTGTAGACAGCATCAGTGAGCGCAGGTTAAATTCTGCTCTCTGAATACTGGGTCATGTATTACCATCACAACCAATGCCCACTCAACCCCTGCCCTCCCCCTCAATTGCTGACCCTTGACTATCTTTGCATCTCTGAAGGGCAGAAGATTAGTTATCCAACTTCTGAATCAGGGACTGATATTTATTGAGGGTATGTGAGTCCATTGGATGAGAGTGACTCAATTGGCATCACCTTGGTTTGCCCCAGTGTAGCTAATGGCCATATGAAAAAGATTGTGTAATAGTTACATGGTCATACAGAACTTGATTGCTTGGGGAAAAGAAACACAGAATTTCAAACCTTTTTGTCTTGCACCCATCAAGATATTTCTCAAAAATACCAATTCATGGGGGAAGACCAGTTACTCTACATGAGATTGCTGATTAATTGCCACATTGAATCTGCTTGTTTGGTAGTGTCTGTACCATGGAGATTATACATGTTGATTCTGATGGACACTTAGGAGCCAGGCTTTTTAAAACAAATTTAATCAAGGTAGGTTGACTCTGATTGATTGGTCAGGGCATTGCCTTGAGAAATGAACCAGCAAATGACTGACATCCTATTTTGTTGAGTGGAAACAGTCACTGTGCGTTTTGTTCCTCCTGTTTTTATAAACAATCAGGTACTGTATCATGTAGCTTCCAATAGATGAAAGTGCATCATATTGTGAGCCTGACTGATCATTCTAAATTGGCTTAGTTGCCAACCCATTAGCACTCCCTTTTCATGCTGTGTAAATGATTATTTTCCCTTGAATTGGTATTCTTGCAAAATTTCTTGAGTGCAAAACAAAAAGCATCAACAAAACATGCCTTTCTTTCACAGTACTCAAGTTATGGGACTAATTCAAAGTGTGATCTCCTAAATGTGAATGAGTGAAAGAATTGAGATGGCACCCATTTTTGCATGCACAGTAGAGAAAAATCGGGTGATTTAAAATAAAGACCGACTAAAATGTTCTTTGCTTTATGAGGATGGAATTAACAGATAGTAGGAACTGC